CATCGTAGCACAGATCTTCTTTCTCACCTTGCACAGGAAGAAATGACCATAAAGAGCTTTCTTTTCAGTGGAAAAAACCAAAACCCAACAGAGTGATGTCTCCTGACGGTAGGTTGGCTTTGTTTAATTATGCTCTCATGAACAAACAACTTGTTTCTGCAGGCTACCCACAGTCTATACATCAGGGGCTGAAAGGGAATGTTTAGCTAAAGAATTCCAGCAGTAAAGTTCAGAAACACAACCTTGTACAAACACTTTTGAAAAACCTTTGTTTTCCAAATGAGCCTGTAAATCACCCAGATTCATTAATTTGCATGTCCATAGGGAAAAAAAAAATATATTAAAAAGGATCATAAATGCCAAAGCAAGTTTGATATTTAACGCACAGATGTTTGAAAGCCACAATTTATTTTCTGCAATATTCCCTCTACTGTAGATAAGAAAATGTGGTTTTTTCCTTGAAATTCTTTGTTTCGATAATGAAAGTGATGGATGTTTGCTTGAGGCATCTATTTACCATTTCAGCAACAAAAATAAGAGGGGCATTGATAATTTTATGCAAGATGTCATCCCTGCAACTTTCCCGAGTGTCGTGTTCTGTACTTGTATTCAGCTTTTTGGAGAGCTCATTCTGCTGAAGAGAGCGTGGCTTTTAATGAGAGCCTTCTGCAGATGCTTGGCTTCTATAAATTCAGCATTAATGCCGTATTTACATAGCTGAGGGTCTAGCCCTTGAACTCTCACAACTGAAGCAGAATAAATGGATGGCAGAAGACGTGTGATGCGGAGCTGACACCCAGGAGTGGGAGAGCTGGACAGCCCAGAAGAAAAAAGTTCATTGGGCTAAGAATGATCCCTTCTTTCTCCAGCTGTTCGTGAGGGGCTGTCACTCATGATCTCCTCCACGGGCTATTTCATGGCTTATGGGTGGCTGCCCTCCCATCTTGCACTAACGTAATTTTATGCTACTTATTTCAATTACTCCCTGCATAAAAATAGTATACATGTATAATTCAGGCTGTGATCCAAAAGTACACCCCCTTCCTGACAGGAGGGATTAATCTTGGAGAATACCTCATACTTTCAGATAATTCCACTCGCTTCTCACATTTCCCTCAAGCTCTCCCCTTTCGTTTTCCCCCTCCCACACACGTGATGTCGAGGGAAGGAAAAAAAAAATGGGTAGGAAGGAGGGCAAGATTCCCATGTATCAGCTCGGGGAATGAGAGGGAGCCAGAACGTCTCCCACGCTGACTGGCACACGGCAGCTCCAAGAGAACACAGTCTGCCAGCTAAAGGGCATGGCCAGCCCCTTCTCTCAGTTGCCATCTGGAGCACGTACCGGCTGGCTGGAGGTGCTCGCTGCTCAATCCCATGGGAAATGAAAAAAGAGAGGATGCACCACCCGTTTATCCCTGCTGCTGCCATCATCTTCCATTCTTTCCAGCTCGTCATGGTGTGATCTGCCCCCAAGGCTAGCGAGCCTGCTCCAGAAGACCCATGCCAAGCTGGTGGTGACAGTGTTGGTGGCAGAGGGTGCGGTGGTGGAGCTGGAAGGCTGGTAGCTAGGGCAGGGTGGCTTTTGCCAAGCACTCACTGAGAACTCTCCCTTCTCCTTTTCGTTCTATCTGGTCTTTTTAAGAACCTGAGCTAGTGACACCTTAGTTGTAGCTCAGCTCTACCAGATGCAGATGAGGAAGACCTCATTGGACCATGGAAAATTCTGATCCAGGACACCTCCATGTGGTTGCTTCTATCACAAGTGAATGGAAGCAGTGTGCAATTTCAAGACTGTTCTGCAAAACCGATTATAAGTAGATGGGATAATCAAGCTTTTTTAGGTTGTATTTGGTCTTATTTTGGCAAGGCAGAAGTTAACATATCCCCCGCGTATGAAAAATTTCCTATGAGTTTTTTGTAACAGAGTAATTAGAACCCAGTTTACAATGCACCTTAAAACCTGCCGTTCTAGGTTACTCCATAAAACCCTGAAAATTAACCAACTGGAAAAAATAAACTGACTATAAGCAAAGAGAAAGCGTTATTTCTCCTGAGAAAAGACAGTACTACTGCAGAACATAAATATCATAAAGGAAAAATAAACTGGATGTTTAAAATTGTCAGATTTCACCCTCATAGATGACTTCCATAATGTAGGAAAGATAATGTAACTCTAAAAAGTAGAGGCTTTCAGGTGCTGAGAGACTGCCTGAGCATTTGGCAGCCTGCATCGGAGCTCGAATTCTATTTGGATATCACTGGTTTGAGGTACTGGGCACTAATGAACGCTTCAAATGCACCAGTCTCCAAGCAGCTGAACACTTGGTTTATTTGGTGTTGCCCATTTTCTTGTCTATTCCCATGGCTTCTGAACCTTCATTGCAATTGCACTGCAGAGTCTACACATGAATGGCAACTAAAAGCAAAACAGATGAGGAATGAATTCAGGGACTGAAAAATAGAGGACTTCCATTACCATGTCCATTACCACCTGAACACAGTCACACTCCCCACCTAAGCAGGCAAAATATACAACAAGCTTGTGAAATATCATTTTACCATGTTATAGATCTGGACTGTAGGAATTGATGGGAATTATGCCATTTTACTTCACTGGGAACAGGCTCACATCCTAGATATGAATACTTCACACCACTGCAAATATTCTTTATTTTACAGGGGTTGCTCAATTTATCGAGATGGCTGAAGTGCAACAATGACACGAGATCTCTTTTTACCCTGACTATTCCTGCCAGTAGATCTGTGTTCCTCCTGTTTCCCTTTGTGTGTGGGCTATGTGATATACGACAGGATATGGCTGAGATTGTAAATAGCTGTATTCTTGTTGGGTATGTTATCTCAGAGTAAATTTTCTATCAGGTTCACTTATGTAGGGACTAAATGCTATGCTTCGCATACAGAGTTTGGGATGCATGTCCAAAACAATGCTTTTTGACAATCTGTGAGAACACCACATGGAAGGATTTCTTTTCAATTTGTAATTTTTTTGTTCTGCTACTTTTGCAACGGAAGATCAGGAGGAGCAGTGGCACAGACAGCTATAAAGTACTGCTGAAATCAGTGCATCAAGTGGAAAACAAGTTTCAAATTAAAATCTCTGCCTGTTAAAAAACGAAAGTAGAATTGAAACCATTTGGGGCTGGTCCAGCCAGCCAGTGACAACACAACCAACACGGCTACAAAGTCCAGATTTGACTCTTGAGTTTTCAAGCCAGCAGGGGCTGGGAGCCTTTAGAAAGGAAAGCACTATCTGCTGTCATTCCTAACTAATGCTTTCTGTGCGAGGGAAGGCACAACACTGGCTACCTCCAGCAGCCCTGCAGCAGTGGCCAGAGAAAAGCTCCAGGTAGATAACCAGACCTCAAGCCAACCTTGGTGTGAGGATGGCTTATGGGACCCTAGGATGACGGAAGAGCCCTGAGGGTTTTCTCATATGCTGTGAAAAACAGCATGCTTCGTATACTGTGAATTATAAGATCATTCAAATGAGGAAAAGGGTATAAATCAGTTTTTCTATATGTCTACAGTGATGATGTAGTACCTTCAACAGAAAACTACATTCACTTTGAAAGCTCTGGCTTTGAACGCCTCTCTCTGAAGACGGTGGGAAATTAAGTGCTAAATAACAATAACCTAAAACCCCACAAAAGCACTCAACTGCAGAGTTTCGGTTTGATTCATCACTCCACGTTCTTCAGGTGGCTGCACACAAGCAACACACCTGAGCACACAGCACTGTATCTGGAAGCACATATACCAACGGCATTCTTTCCACAGAAAAATTCTGAGATATTTCACAAGGTGGAAGTTTTCCTCTGGAGTATATCTGTAGGTTCAGAGCAAACACACTGGAATAGCAATGGCTTGTACCTGTTGCACACAGTTCACCACTCAGACTTAGGGAATACTTTAACGAGAAGAACTTGAAGAATTTTGGATTCATTAAAGAATTAAGCCACCTGAAACACATAAAGCAGGTAATGGCAGGGCAGTAGCTCTTTAAAAGCAGGGCAAGCTGGGAGATGCTCCTATGCCACAAGGAAGGTTTTTGCAGGAGCAGAGTAGAAGAAATGGTGGCCAGGAATGGACTATACGACTCAAGGTATTGACTAATGTTTTTTGTTGGGGTTTTTTTGAATGTGATTGTTTTGCTTGCAGCTAGAATACTTGTATTTAACCTTGGGTTCCAGCTGCCTTTGTAGCGTTCAAACTCTAGGCTCCAGTTGCAGTAAGTACATATTGCCTAACTAAAAAGGAGGAAAGGAAAATGCAGAAGGGATTACAGCCACATCTTGGGGATGCGTTACCCGAATCGCTCACTAGGGACTTCATGTCCAGAAACAGTGAATTCCCACAGTTTCTCTGGACATCAGCTCCTCAGGGTAGCGGTCCAGGGGCAGCGTTTTTCAGGGGAGTCCTTAGGGAAGCGGGGAAGATGGGCTCTAACAGCCCGCCCCGACTGGCGTGTGGCGGCGGCCGCTCTCCCTCGGGGTCCTCCCCCTAAAATCACAGTTCGAAAGAGCCCCCCAAACAGCTGAAGAAGCCCTTTCCCCTAAACCACACCATTCCCAGCATCGTGCCGTGCCCCAAAGTGAGGGGAAGGAAGGGAGAGAGGGAAGGCGCGGGGCTGCTCAGCCCCGGAGACCGGTCTGTGCCCCGCCGGGCGGGCAGGGGAGGGGGACGAGCGGCCGCCCCCTCGCCTCAAGGCACCGCTCGGTGTCCGAGGACAACACGTCAACCCGCTTCCCGAGAAGCGCGACGGCCGCTGCCGAGCCCGCACGCCCTTCCCCGCCGGACCGTTCCCCGGCTCCCGCCCGCAAAACTTTCCGCCGGGGCGGAGGGGCTCCCTCCCTTCGCTCCCACGGCGCCGTCGGGGAAAAGTTGCCGCCGCGGCGGGGTCCGGCTCCCCCGGCAAAGTAGCGGCAGGTGGGGAGAGAGCGCGTCCCGGCCGCCCCTCCCGGGACTCCGCGGCTCCTTACCCAGCCCCGGCACGAAGGTGTTGAGGAAGAGGCAGATGACAGCCACGGGGAACGGCATGTAGGGGATGGCGGCGCGCAGGGGGCCCTTCTTCTCCCGGACCTGCACCACCACCCCGCTGGAAGGGGCAGCGCCCCGGCTGGGCTCCCCGGCCGCCGCGCCCTCGCCTTCTTTGGGGAAGGGATCCATGGCCGGGCGCGGCCGAGGCTGCCGGTGGCCCCCGGCGGGCTCCCAGCTG